TGGCTGATCGTGCTGAAAAGATGAGGCGCCGGCTGTCGCAGCGGTCGTACGGCGCACAGGCAGCTTCCTCCTCACTTCCTTCTCCGACTCCTCAGGCGACTCCACCTCCACCACGAAATGTGGTGGACCTGACACCGTTTCCTGTTGCTTCTCCTTCTCACCTTCCACCTCCGGTACATACGGAGAGTCCAAGCTCCAAGCGCCTACTGGAGGAGTCGGACGCACCTCCTCCTAAGAAGATCCGACTGGGCTTGGAGCTCGAAGAGGATGCCCAGATTTGGGCGGGCAGCTACTCGGTCCAGAACTGGGCCGAACATGTCCTCCTCCCCAAGTACTTGGAGGCGGCGAATAAGATGCAGGATGAGTATATTCTGGAAGCCTCTCTGCGCAAGTCCTACGTCTTTCAATTCTTTCTAAACTTTCTCTTAACACTTCCTTTTTTCGTCTCAGAACCTCACTTTTCAACTGGAGTTGAGGAAGCGGATACGGGCCCTTAAGACGACCAGGCATGCCCTCGGACATCGTCTCCAACAGTTAGAGGAGGCCCGTCGGGAAGAGCAGGCTGTCTTCGTCAAGGCGAGGGAGGTCCACACGGCCGAGCTTCTGAGGGTCACTCGCCAGTGGGAGACACAGCGAGACAAGGCTGCCGCCGCTGCTGCCTCAGCCGCCGCTACTATTGTCAAGTACAAGAACTCGGCTGCCTTTGAAGCGGACGTGAAGTCGACGGTTGAGGGTGGTCGAGAGGTGCTGGCAAAGGAGTGGCTGGCAAAGGAGTGGCTGGCAACTCCAGAAGGAGACGACTATCTGCTAGATCTGGGCGAGCGTGATTATCACCTGGGCTATCGCGAAGCTCAGATGGAGATCCATGCCTTTCTTTTGGCCCGTGACTCGTCCTTCACTCCGGAGAGCTGGGGCCTTAAGCCCGTGCTCGATCCTCTACCAGCTGCTGAGATACTAGTGGCAGCTGCTGATCCAGTGGCTCTTCCTGTGGCGAGCCTAGTGACCTCGATTGAACAGCTTCCTCCGGCGGAAGACCCCTCACTTGCTCCTCCAGCTAGAACATTGGCGGAAGAAAAAGTTGAGGAAGTCAACGTCGACACCCCCTCCCCCATAGTCTAGGGCTTTTAATAACTTCTCCTTTTTGTAAGGGCTGGCCTTCCCTTCGGGCTTTTTAATGAAAGAAAGTTTCTCTTTTACTCCTCTTCGTGTTTTCCTTTATGCAATTTATTTATGCCTTTCGACTGCTCCTGCTGAATCCTTACGCCCCATAGCTCCCGGTGCATTGGCCTTTTGGTTTGCCGAGTCCCTCAGCCAAGGCGACTTTTGTGGGTTTCTCATGGAAATGTCTAAGGGTCTGGGCCCTGACTTTCTATCTTTTCTCGCCGAGTCCCTTAGTCGAGGTGACTCCTATAGGCTTTTTCTCGGAAACGTCTAAGGGTTTCGGCCCTTGTTTCCAATCTTTTCTCGCCGAGTCCCTCAGTCGAGGCGACTCCTATAGGTTTTTTCTCGGAAACGTCTAAGGGTCTGGGCCCCCGTTTCCTATCTTTTCTCGCCGAGTCTCTCAGTCGAGGCGACTCCTATAGGCGTTTTCTTTTTCTCAGAAACTGTTTTCAAGATGTGGAAAGTGATGGTACTTTTATTCAAGGTTGAACTTTAGGTGAATACACAGGCTAACCTTTTAAGGCTTCGAACTCACTGATAGAACTTCTTCAAGTGGATCACATTCCAGATCCGGTCAACGAGCTTCCGCTCCAATGTCTCCAGTTTATATGTGCCGGCTTGGACTACCGCGGCAATGCGATAAGGTCCTTCCTACTTGATTACGAACTTTCCACCTTCCGTGGGCTTGCTCGCATGTCGATCTCGTAGCACGAGGTCGCCGACTTGAAAGGTTCGTGGGCAAATCCTCCGATCCTGGTATCTTTTTATGGCCTGCTGATATTCCACCATACGGGCATGCGCAGCTTCCCTTCACTCTTCCAAGAAATTCTTTTCAATTCTGAGGCTCTCCTCATTTCCTTCATCTGAGTAATTGCGGACTTGGTGGATAGGCTCGACGACTTCTACGGGAATCTTAGCCTCGAAGCCATACGCTAGGGAGAACGGACTTTCACCGGTCGCCCGCCTCTGAGTGGTTCGGTAGGCCAACAGGACTTGGTCAAGCTCATCAGCCCAGTTTCCTCCATTGTCCTCCAGCTTTTTCTGGATTCCATCTAAGATTGTACGACTCACATTCTCAACTTGTCCATTGGCTTGGGGGTAAGCAACGGAAACCTTAGTGTGGCGTATGCTATGCCGTCGGCAGAAGTCGGCAAAGGGTTGGCAGTCGAACTGTCGACCGTTATCGTTGACCACATGCTCAGGTAATCCAAAGCGGCAGATTACGTTCTTCCACAAGAAGCATCGACACTGATATTCGGTGATGGTGGCTAGCGGTTCAGCCTCAACCCATTTAGTGAAATAGTCGATGGCAACTACACAGAACTTCAGACGCCCGGGGGCGACTGGTAGTGGGCCCAGCAGATCATTCCCCCATTTGGCGAATGGGATGGCCGTAGTAACCGGCGTGAAGAAAGTGGCTGGCCGAGTATCCTTTCGAGCGAATGCTTGGCAAATCGCGCAATTGGCTATTCACTCGATGCAGTCTCTCATCATAGTAGGCCAGTAGTATCCCTGAACGACTAATTTCCGGGCGAGAGTGTGGGCGCCCTGGTGAGCTGCACAGATTCCACGATGGGCTTCGTCCATTATTTTCTCCGCCTCCGCTCTGAGTAAGCACCTGAGGAGGGTACCCCCAAACGACCGCTTGTATAGTTGTCCATCGATAATTTCGAATGACGGAGCTTTGCGACGGACCCGGGCGGCGACTTCGGGGTCCTCTGGCAATTCCCCCTTTTCCTTGTACCGTCGAATATCTTCAATCCAGAACATTTCCGGGTTCTTCACCTGGTCCCATTCTTCAGTCGTCACTAGCTGAATCTTTAAGGTCGCTTCTTCTATGCTGGGTCGGACCAATTCTTCCTTTTGGCAGATTTTAACGAGATGATCCTGCTTGCCTTCCTAAGCGATCTTCGAGAGTATGTCGGCTTCTGTGTTGTCGGCTCGCGAGATGTACTCTATCTCAATAGCGCCGAATCCCTTCAATAGCTCTACCGTTTTCTCCTTATATTGAGCCATCCGAGCGTTCTTCGCGTCGCAGGTCCCGGACACCTGTCCAACCACCAAACGAGAGTCGGTCTTGATTCGTAGGCGTTCCGCCCCCAGTGTCCTGGGGAGTCGTAGGCCACCCAGCACAGGCTCGTACTCGACCTCATTGTTAGAGTTCGGGAACAAATAACTTAAAGCGTAATAAAGCCTGAACCCTTCCGGAGTAATCAACATAACTCCGCCGCCGCAATGTTGGCGACTGGCCGCTCCATCCGCATGTATCTCCCACCATTTGCCGGGGCCATACTCCGAGATATCGTCCCTGCCGCTTTCTCCTGCAGTGCACTCGACCAAGAAGTTGGCCAAGGACTGTCCCTTCACTGATGGGCGAGGCTGATACTCGATCCCGTGCTGGGTTAGCTCCACTGCCCACTTCACGAGTCGGCCGGAAGACGTGGGATTCCGTAACACGCTTCCCAGGGGTTGATCAGTCAAGACCCGAACGGTGTGGGTTTGGAAGTAGGGCGCTAGTTTGCGCACGGTGATTACCTGAGCGTAGACGATTTTCTCCAGAGGCGTATATCGCGCTTTGGCTGCTTTCAAAGAACGACTCACGTAATATACCGGGTGCTGAGCACGTTGATCCTCTCGGACAAGTACCGAACTCACCGCTTTCGAGGATGCTGCTAGGTATAAGAACAATGGCTCACCGACTTGGGGGGTGGACAAAACCGGAGGTGTGGAAAGATATTTTTCAGCTCATCGAACGATTGCTGGCACTCGGTTTTCCATACAAAGCCCTCCTGCTTCTTCATAGCCTCAAAAAAAGGCACAGTCTTGTCCACCGATTTGCTTAAAAAGCGACTAAGGGCAGTCAGTCGACCAGTCAACCGCTGTAGGTCCTTAACAGTACGGGGAGGCTGCTTGTCCATGATTGCCTGCACCTTTTCCGGGTTGGGCTCGATGCCCCTTTTGGTCACTATATACCCCAAGAACTTCCCAACTTGCACGGCGAAGGCGCACTTCTTCGGATTAAGTCATAAATTGTATTTAAGCGTTATCTGGAAGCAATCGGCCAGATCTTTAGCATGATTAATTTCCTCCCTGCTCTTCACTAGCATGTCGTCTATGTATGCTGCCATAGATTTTCCTAATAAGTCCTGGAATAGTCGGGCGACCATTCGCGTGTACGTAGCTCCTGCATTCTTGAGTCCGAATGGCATGACTCGGTAACAATACACCCCATCCGGGGTCAGGAACGCGGTTTTCTCTTCATCGGCCTTGTGCAAGAAAATCTAATGGTATCCTCTGAAGGCGTCCATAAAACTTAGCAAGGTCGTCCCCGCCGTTTCGTCGACCAACTGATCGATCCAAGGCAGCGGAAACGGGTCCTTCGGACAAGCCTTGTTAAGGTTGGTATAATCCACACACATTCGCCAAGCCGGCTGTTTCGGCACAAGCACCACGTTAGCCAGCCATTCCGGATACTTGACTTCTAGAATGTGACCAGCAGCTAACAGCGTGATTACTTATTTCTTCACGAATTCCCTTCTGTCGTTGGCTAGATATCGCTTCTTTTGGATCACCAGTCGATGGTCGGGGTCGACAGCGAGCCGATGAGCAATGATAGATCGGTCAACTCCTGGCATATCCTCCGGCCCCCAAGCAAAGACCAGCCGGTTTTCTCGAAGCACCTTTATGACTCCCTCCCGCACCTCATCTGGGAGGCCGACTCCAATTCGAACTAATCTCTCTGGTCGTTCGGGGTCAATTTCGATATCCTCCAATTCTACGGCCGGCTCCGGGCGGGGAATCATTGCCTTTTTTGGAGGTCGTTATGTGATCTCATGGACCTACATTTCACGCTTCCCCATGCCCCTGCAAGCTTGCAAATAGCAGTCACGGGTGATTCTTCTGTCACAGCTGACCGTGCCAATCCCATTCGGCGTGCGGAACTTCAAGCTGAGATGCTCAATGGAGATCAATGCTCCCAAATCTTCCAAGCCTGGGCGGCCAAGTATTGCGTTGTGTGAACAGGTTAGGTTGACCACAATAAACTTCATGTCCAGCTTCTGCACGTCAGGGTAGCTACCGATTTCTACTAGCAGGGTGATTGACCCTTCCGCCTCCACTGAGTCGCCCGTGAAGCCGGCGAGGGGCGTCTTGACAGGGATCAACTGCTCTCGTGTTAGCCCCATTTTGGTGAAGGTCTCGAGGTACAAGACGTTGACACTACCCCCGGTATCTACCAGGATTCGTCGAACAACTACCCCGTTTACGTCCATCGCGATGACCAGTTCATCGCGGTGTGGTGTCTCCCCCGTGGGTAGATACTTGTCAGTGAAGACAATAGGCTCTCGGCAGGCTTTCTTCGAGCCACCTTCTCGTCCGTACACTGTTCCTACATACAATTGCCGGGCCCAGGCTTTCCTGGTGTTCGCCGAGTCGCCTCCCTCTGGTCCGCCGACTATCATATTGATAACCGGCTTCTGTCGCCACTGGGCCTCGTCTTCGTCGGTCGTCGGCTGCTTGCTGCGACTGCATTCGGCTGCTCCTGCAGAGTCGCCGTCTTCCCGGGCTGCCGATCTTCGTCGCCATTGGTTGGGAGGCGGAGTCCCTTGCTGGATGATCCCCTCCATGATCTTCTTCAAGTAATAACATTCTTCCGTGTTGTGGGTGTATGACTTATGATAACGGCAATATTTAGGCACTTTACCTGGATCTTCGTTCGTTGTATGCTCCTCGGTCGGGGGAGGCCGAGGAGGTGCGACTGCTCGCACTTCCTGTACTGGGTGCTGGGGAGTCGGCCTATAAGGGTGGATGCTGGGCTTATCATATGGGCATCGTGCTTCAGGTCGGGTTCTCTTTCCATTAGCAGATCCCCTGATCTCACGCTGTCGCTTGTGCTTCATGGCCTGCTCCGTGGTTGCTCGTTTGTTAGCCATATGTATGGCCTCCGCATAAGTGGCCGGCCGGTTGTCCCGTAAATCACGATACAGCTGCCCGGATCGTAAAGATTCGATGAAGAAGGTGAGGGCGGTTTGGTCCTCAACTTCCTCGATAGACTGGATCTCTTTTTGCCATCGGGCCAAGTAGGTCTTGAGGGATTCGCCCTCCTCTTGATGAATGTCTCCCAGATGAGTCAGATCTTTTTGTGGCTTGATGTTGGCCGCGTAGTGGCTCGTGAAGCGGTCGGCTAGCTCCTCGAAGTTGTGTATCGATCCCGGGGGCAGAGCCACCAACCATCTTTGTGTCGGGCCCTTTAGTGTCGGTAGGAAAGCGCGACACATGACAGGGTCTCGGACTCCTAAAACATGCATCTTAGCCTGATAGCTTAAAAGGTGCTCCCGCGGGTCGCCGAATCCGTCGAAGGTAGCCTGTTTCGGGAACTTGAAGTCGCCGGGTACTTTGTAAGACATGATCTCGGTGGAGAAAGGCAAGGCAGTGAGCAACGTTCGTCCAGGGGACTTGGTCCTACCTTCCATTTGCTCCCTCAGGTTTCGCACTTCTCGAGCCAGGTGAGCCACATCGTCGCCATTTCGCATGTGATTTCTGGTGGACTCCGTGCTTTCGCTGACCTCTGATTCGGCTTGTTGGTCAATGTTGCGTATAGGTCGCTCGGTCCGTCGTGCCTGAGTCCTGGTCCTTCTAGTACGGGTTTTTTTCTCGGGCGACCTCTCGATTTTGGGGACCCACCGGTGCACGACTAGGCTCTCTCTGCCCCAGTCGTTCTCTCGCTGATTGACGCGCGGTATTCGGGCCGAGCCTCAAATGGACTGATCGCACCGGTAAGCTCTCTGCTCGCCGATCTCCTTGTCTGCCCTCTCCAGACCTTTGGGGCGGTTGTTGATTGCGGGGCAGCGGTCGTGAGGCCAACTGTTCTCCCATTCCCCGATTTTCAACAACGATGGCTCGTCCGATGGCTCGAAGCTGTTCAGGGGTGAGGGGTATCATTGGCGGTGGTCGATTCAAGGGTGCCGAATCATTTTCTTGACTTTGGGCGTTTCGCTGATTCAGCTGCTCTCTCTAGTCGACTACTGGCGCATTGTTACGGTCGATGGCCTGGCTTCGTCCCTCTGACATGTTGCAAAGCCTTCGTCTTTCTTACACTATCCTTGTCCTTCTCGTGAACTCGCTTGCTCAAGAACGGACATGGCTCTTTGTTTCGATCCCCACGGACGACGCCAGTGTTGGTTTTAGGGTTTTTGAGCCCAGGGAGGTCCAACACAACCTTGGTCGGTGGATTCACCTTTCAAAAAAAAGCTTGAGGAAATGTAATAAAAAATGGTGTCTCTCTATTATCTGGGCACGGACTCGCCTTCTTTACATTCACGGAGGGCCCTTTATATAGTAGGCCCTCCTCTACCGAGTTAAAGCACATTAAAAGGCCACTTTAAGGCTAATTATGTTTTGGGGCCGTTGGGTGGTGTTACCAGGCCGGCCAACGGCTCTCTCAGGCTCTCAACGGCTTGCTTGGTCGAGTCTCTTAACTGCTGCTGTTAATGCCGGGCAACGGCTCTCTGCCGAGTCGTTACCTCAACTTGGGCCTGGGCCGACTCCTCGACTCGGCCCTGGCCCCTGTTGGGCCCTGTAAACCTTTATCCACTGGGTCGTGCCTCAATCGCTCTGGGCTTCTTCCACTATTCGTGGACTCTATCTCTTGGACCTTGTTCTTCTTGCGGCAGGGTCCACACCCCATCACATTGTATAAATTATTTGTTATTATCTTATATATTCATATATTATGTATTTAATTATTTATTAGGACTTATTACTATATTAATTATTATTGTTTAACTAGTCATTCGTTGCCCCAGTCTTATATGGGCTCAGTTCTCTATGTTTGTAGTCATCTTCTTAATTCTGTTCATGACTGTAGGATCCAGTTCACTAGTAAGGTTAAAAACAAGGTTACCCACGAACTAGCTATGGCTGAGGATACGACTTCGTTATTCAGGGAGTGAAATGATGTCCCACCCCGATCTTGATTTCTTTATTGAATTAATATATTTATCCCTTATTTTAAAAAACAAATATTAGTTATTATTATTTTCAACAAATTATAAATACATTAATAAATATTTAAACTATTCAAATTATTTTAGTATATAATTACTAACTTTTTCATATTAATTTTTTCTTTAAATGAACAAAAGCATGGATCAAAAGTTGTTTCAAACTAAGAGTTCCAAGACATAAAATTACATTGGGATAAACCAAAGAGATTAATTATCAACACGAAGATTGTAGACTTAAAAGTCAATTTGATCGATGATGGTAATTTAGGTCGTGGGTAGAGGCTAGTGGGTTTGCTATTGGATTTTGTGCTGGGGGTAGGGATGGAAGCTCAAAGAAAGGTGGTGTGGTGGCCTAGTGTGGGCTGGGGGTGCAGCCGGTTGAGGCACTAGCTAGCTTCTACAAAATTTCTATTCAATTAATTGAGTGATATTTTTACATTAATCTTATAATATAATCAAATAAATATATACTTTCAAATATTAAAATTATTTATAATTTAATCTCTAATTTTATTATTTAAATATATAATAAAAAATTTTACCCCTGCATTGTATAGTACATGTAATATAATATAGAAGATTTAACATAGAAAAATTGTATGATATTTCAATTTCATATTTTTCGCGTACCAAAAACCTCCCTATTGTTACAAGGTTGAAGAATTGGTAAGCTACCACATATATGCAACGTAACATACATATATATAATACGTACAACTAATTAACTTCTCATCATCAGATCAGATCAGCCGCAATGATTTGGAGACAGACAATTATCAAATTTGCCAAAAAAATTGTTGCAAGCTGCTTTGGTGGGTTGATGACCATGGTATAATATATTCAAGCTCCGGAGCTTTATGTCTTTACACGGCACGATTCTACTGCAAATGAAATTGGCAGACAACTCGTCCTGGGAGCTCCCAACAATGTTTAAGTATGTGATGTTTGAGATTGCAACTGATGATTCCCCCTGTTTGATCGTAGACAAACATTAAATTCATTAATTAATTCTTGGCCGGACCCATACTCCTGCCTGCCCGGCATATCAGAGCATTTGGGAGGACGATATGATGTAAGCCAATTAAGCCGTGATAATTCAGTGACATATAGGGCCTAATATAATGGTGATTATTGATGGAAAGGAATTACATACTATATATACCTGATGTTGGCATCCGTTGTTGGGACAGTAGTGTTGATCGATGAGAATCGGGTTTTGAACACCATTCAAAATGATGTGTTGATAGGTAATGTTGTAGACCTTGGTGGGAGTAGAAGGTGCCCATGTTTTGATCCTAAGCCCATTTGTGGTGTTTGTGATAGTGCAATTGGTCACAGTAATTCCACTCACTAATCACAACGTTTGTGGTTCCTTCCCCAATCGAAATGCAATCGTCCCCCGTCCCAATATCCACATTATGAACTTGCACATATTGTGACCGCCTGATGTGAATTCCGTCCGTATTTTTACTATTCGCCGGCGCCATTATTGTTATATTTTCAATCTCCACATGTTGATCGCCCTCGATTTTAATGTGAAATAATTTACTATTCCGTGAAGTTATCCCTTCAATACGTCCATACGTGACATTACTCAATTTCAAATTCTGAACATACATTATTAAGAAAGGCCAGATATTATTAGCCAGCTAGGAAAATTATACTATACATACCGTAGGAAGAGGTTTGCAGTTGGGGTCAACTTTGCATCGGTTCACAGTCCAGGCGTATGCACCCTGACCATCTATAACGCCGTTCCCAGTGACGTTTAAGCCTTGCAGATGCTCCAATAGTATCCACGACTCCGAGCTGTTGAGGAAAGTCTCCTCCGGAGCCTTCAAAACGCCCGTCACAGAAAACGTTATTGGCCCGGCGCAAGGGCCGCTTAACTTCACCGGATTCAGTAAGAACTCCCCACTTGGGACGCTCACCGTGCTGCCGCTATCATTGCATGCAACCATCCATGCTGCGAGTAATGCCTATATATATATATATTGAACGTACAAATCAGATAGAGTAAATTATCTTGGGGTCACGAGGGAAACTACCCTAAGGTGTGTACTGGATAAATCTCGCCTTGTGATCTTAACTAGCAAAGGACCACAATGCAAAGAGATAAACCAGGCCAGCCTAAGTTTTCCATACTTGGCTGACTGCAACCAAGAAGACTGAGATTCAAACTCGTGACCTTGTGATTACAAGTTTGTATGTACCGTACCATTAGCTAACTTGGCCTCTTAGTTAATTATTATATTCATCCTATATATAAACTTTGTATTAATTATATTCTAACGCAACTATATGGAGTGAATTAAGGATATATGAGTATTGCTCGCTCTTATACATAAACATATATACCTTGCTGCTGTCAATTTTTCCATCTCGAATGGCACCATAATCAGTGATATTATAGGTTTTACAACCACTAACTACAGACACAGTAACTAAAAGTATTACAAAAAGACACAGCCTATGATGAGAAAACAAACTGGAACCCATTTTCTCAACTCTGATCTATATTTTCTTTTACTTTTATTTTTTTTTCTGGTGATGATAATAATTTGAGCGGAGGTATTTATGTTGAGTAATTGATTAAGTTTATGGTAAAGTAGTAAATAGGTGATAATATATAGTGATTAAATTGAGTTGTATTGAAATTAAATAAGAGGAGTATGTATTATCCCAACATAATTTTTTTTTTTTTGAAAGGTATCCCAACATTAATTTTTTTTTTTTTTTTAAAATATCCCAACATTAATTAATTATGCATAAAAATGAAAAAAAAAAAAAATCTTCAGAGGTTCATGAATCATGAGTGGCTGAAATCAAGATACTTGAATCTTGCTCCACATTCATTACTTAAATTATTTGAACTTGACCTATACTTGATAATAATTTATCGATTTTGAACATTCAACAAAATGCAATAGAAGTAGAAAGCTGTTTAAAGTTTATAAAAAAAAGCGCACAAATTTTGTTTATGATGAATTGGTGAATGATATGATGCTTGGCCAATGGTAAGTGGTGTTTAACATGCAAATGTCCAGTAATTATAGATCTTTATCAATTTTCGTCCTTGATTTTTAATTTAACCATATATGGTCTTGTTGATTGCCCTGTTTGTGGGTGGAGTGGGGGGGGGGTTGGATGAAGGGGTTGGGCTGAAGCATATTCCAATTCCACCTTTTTAATGATTGAAAATATTGAACAATTATAACCTCATCAAAAATAAATTATTAAAAATAATTCTAATTATATAACATGAGGGATTAAATGTGCCACGTTATGAACAATTAAAAGATTAGATTTATTTAAATCAATTAATAGGGGCTAAATTTCCAAATATAAAACAATTGAGGGACCAAAAGCGTCGTTTTCTCTGTTACTAATTTCGATCTTTCGACTTTCCATTGGACCATAAATGGTAGGTCCATTAACTAGAGATCTTTATCAATTTTCGTCCTCGACTTTTATTTAACCATAAGTGGTCCGTTGACTATTGATTATATCCAAATTTGGACTTCTAG